TTCAAAACAGAAAATCCCCTCGGGCTCCTACCCACTGTTATCAGCAGGGGCACCCTCTCAGCTCTTTCAAACACTCAGTTTGAAGAGAGGTGCCGTTCAAATCTTGCTTGAGTCTAAGGGCACGTGGCCAATGTGCTTTACCCTAAGAGCAAGGATAATGAAATCACTTGCTCAAAATCCCAGCGACAGAGAGATGACAAATTTTACAGAGCAGGAGAGAGCCAGCATGTGTTGGATTCATCAGACATTTTCATGTATGAACATTAAACATAAAAATCATTGTAATGATGGAAATAAAGGAGGGCTTTGGGGCGGGGTAGAGGGGATCAAAGTTTATGAAAATCCTTTCTAATGAGTAAGTTATATAATACTTTTTTCCCAATCTTTATGGGTAACATAATTAGTCATTTCAAAGGAAATATTAATAAGATCTCTCAGGTAGCACTAAAACATGGTTTTCCCTTTATAATTACCAGTTCAAAATGAGTCTTTGATGTACAAAGCGCTGTAATGCAAGGAGATACTTCACAGATTCATTCACAGTGGCACTGCTGAAGCAGAATTTGTAAGTATTATTCAGACAAGCACTGACACAGATTGAATTTTACCCAGCACTATTTAAAAAGGAGGCGGTAAGTACATTAAAAATGCATACAAGATTTAGAGGGGATGCTTAACCTACTTAAGAGATAGACTATTTCCAAGTGTTTTTGAGTTGTGCATTTGTATCCCGTTGATAACATTCATGACAAATGCTACTTACATATTCAGCACGACTGGGCCCAAAGTAACTCTACATGATAACAGTTTAAAGCTGAATTCTAATTACTGTGTCTTTAAGAGACTCAATGATCTCTTTTAAAAATTAGAAGGTTTTTTTGTTTTTTGGTTTTTTGGTTTTTTTTTTTTTGATTAAGGTGAGTCTTCTCCAAAATTAGATCACTTAAATATCTGAGAGAGGATGGAGAAATGTTGGTCAAAGAACACAAAGAGTGGGTTAGACAGGAGGAATAAGTTCTAAGAAACTACTTAATTGTACGGCATGGGGATTATAGTTAATAATAATGTAGTGGTACTTGAAAATTGTCAAGAGAGTAGATTTTAAATGTTCTCACCATAAAAAGAAGATAAGTATGTAAAGTGCTAGTATGTTAACTATTTTGATTTAATAAGTCCACAATGTATACACATATCAAAACAACATATTTCATTTTATAAATATATGCAATTTCATTTGTCAATTAAAATACACTAAGTTTTAAAATAAATAAAGATTACTATTTATATTTACCGAGAGTCAACCAGGAGACAGTATGTTCCAGCTAAGAAAAGGACAGTTGTCTGTCTTTAATACCTAAGGGGGTATATCTCCAACAATTAGAGGCTTAGTTACATCCTCTTTCACCACTGGTTTTTAAAGGTGTAGCTCTGGGCTTACTGAAAGGTGTTTTAAACACTAAGAAGAATGGAATCACTTCTCAAATGTGTACTATTTCCTGATCTAGTCACAATGGTGTAAGTAGCTGGGAACTACTGCATGAGTCTGAGGCCACATAGGAAGCCCAGGTTCAGATCCTAGACCAAAATGAACAGACCATGCATGCATAGCAGCAAGTGTCTATAATCCTAGCTAACTGGAAGTAGGGGACCACAAGGATGAGACCCTGACAAAAACACCTCTCTCCCTCTCTCTCTCATAAAAAAAAAAATGTATATGTTTCACTAAGGTTTTCTATATCCACTCTGGCAAAATCTGATTATCTTGAATTACCATTAGACTGCACTACCCTGTTGGCTGATCCACGTGGAACTGCATACACTTATACTTTCATGTACGACTGGTTCTCTGCATTTGAAGATGCGAGATTTCATGAATCGACATGCTGATTCCATGTCCCTGCCAATGCATTTGATTACCATAGAGAAGATGCATTTATATACATATGAAACTAGAAATGGAAAATTATTGATGATAACATATATGATTAAGCCACTATGCAGTATATTCTGGATGGGAAATCATATTTTGTATGCTGTGATGATGCTCAGGGAATGAATGTAAATTAATTAATTTTAAAAAATGTTTCAGAATGAAATTACAGTGTACTTGTCACTGGATTCTAGCTTTGTCCATATTTTTAGTTTAAGGTATTTTGTAAATCAATAAAAGGTGGAAAAAAATGTTTCAGAAGAAAATTATAGGACACTTGTAACTAGATTCTAGCTTTGTTCATATTTTTAGTTTAAAATATTTTGTGAATCAATAAAATGTGGAAAAAAAGTTTAATATGGAAGGGAGAAAGGGGAATGAGGAAGGAAAAAACAAGTAAAAGTATGTTTAATTGACAAAAAATGAGAAGCTATTTGCTGATAAGTTATAGAGTAATATCTTTGGTTTGACTGACATGCATAGTATTTGGGCTGGAAAAAGAAATGCTATACACTGTAAAGATGTGATTAAATGTAAATAAGTAAATTCATTAAAAAATTAAAATAAATGAATAAATAAATAAAAATAAAATAAAAGGGATACAATTTCCTGAAAGAATACCTTCAACAAGAAACTTTGGAATAAGCTTTTTCACCTCTCAAAATGAGTTGGAGTTGTAAAGTGTGGCAAGCTTATAGCAGATTTCCCATTCTTATCCTTTTCATTTATACTTGAAGGAAATTAATCTATTTTCATGTTCTTGCTATTCCCAAGATAAGAACACCTATGCACCTTTACCCAACTGTACTAATCCTTCACCCAGTGTCAAGGATGAGGACCTGGTCCAAAAATGTTGCCAAGGCTTTTACAACAGATTCCAATGCTGAGCACCTGCATTCAGCACCAACTTTACTGAGTGCAAGCTCCCTATAGCAAAAATCTCTCTTCTTAAAAAAAAAAAATTACACACACACACACACACAAACACACACATACACACATCTCTTACTTTACTCTGAACCTTCATAAAAAAGTCTTCTTTCCTCTCTGAGTTCCTTTGATGCTCCCTGAAGAGAGAGGGGGCAGGTATTCATATCAACCTTGGTCAATTGAGCTCATGAAGGCTTCAAGAGGTGAGGTCACTTATGCACAGCCTTGCACAGCTGGTGACCAGTTCCAAAGCGAACACTATTTCCACTTTTCTGCACTGACTGCA